TTTTTTTTTTTCAGCGAGAACTTTGGAATCCCTTGAAGCAGTTTTGATTATTCTCTCCAATGCGAGTTTCCCTCCTTTGTTGTCAATTGCCCTTTTATCTTTAATTTTTTTCTCTCTTTCTTTTTTTTTTTTTTTTTCATTCCATTCAAATGAATTTCAGCGATGCAACTGAAATCTTTCGCGGAGAACAGGCCGAAGGAAGGAATTGTATCGACAATCGGTTTGCATAGTTGGAAGGATAACAAGCGGATCTATAACGACGATATCGGGACAAAGAATAATGAAAATGAAACGAAAATGGAAGACGTATCTGATTATAATAAATCGTGCAGCTTGCAAACACCAGACTCGATCAGCAAGAGATCCAGTTACGACAAATTGAACATCACGTGGGAAGATTGTGGAAAGATGGGGACACGGAGTTCCTCGTTGGATACTTCCGGTATCCAGAGCAACGACTGGAGCTCGGATACGCACAGCGACCTGCAAAACACATTTCTGTGTCTCAGTGATGAATTGGCGACGACTGATTACAAGCTAGATAACTCGCAGGTTTTACTTTTTAAAAGACGCATTGTTGATGCAATTTTAATTAAATTTACATTTATCAATACTAATTTAATGAAAAAAAAAAAAAAATGTTCAATGAAAATTTGTCGATTGATTTTCATGATCATTATTCATATTTTTGATATTTTTTATTTATGAATTTTGGATCAAATTCGAAAAAATAAGGATAATCTTTTTTATAGGAACGATGTACTGCCATCAATGAAGTAGTATCAATTCTTGAAGAACTTGACATAAATCCTGAGAAAGCTACGATTCTTCTTGAGGAAGATCGTTTTTACGACAGCACGTCTACGCACGATCAATTAACCAGGCTGGCCTTGACGACTGAAACGGACGCTAATGTGTTGGAAGTCCTCGAAAATCCAGAACATTTAGTAAAACATCTTCAAAATAAGATAAAAAAACTTCAAACTAGCAACAAAGATATCTATAGAGATATATATAATCTTCGAGAAAGCTTTCAAGTAATAATTTTTACGTGTTAAATATATATATTTTTTATAAAAGAAAGAATATTTCATAAAATTTTTTTATTATTTTATTAACCAGTGTGATGAACAGAGAATAACGGATATCTTGTCTGATACAAATAAACTACGACAGGATGTACATGAGCTGCGATACCTGGACGATCTTTTAAAACTTTTACGAGGGGAATTGGAAAGGATTTCAAAAAGAAATTGGCCATTTGTTATAGGACATACAAATCATTCGGAAGAAATGAATCTCATCGTGTGAATAATATAAATCCCTTCCATTGCTAGAATTTAATGGAAGTTTTTTTCAAGATCATCCGTAACATCGATATTTTGTTACTTAAAATTAATTTATTCAAAGAGAGACACGGTTAAGTATTTTTATAACAACGCCAAAAGCGTTTTCACTGCCATTGTTAATTATAAAATATGTATTACAAGTTGGTTCTGCAAATTTTTCTGTAATGTTGTCCAATGTCAAACGATTATGATGAGTGCATGAAATTTCAATTGTTTGCGCAAACAGAAATTGCATTTAAGTTTTCAATATATATAACATTATTTATTTAGATAGATTTTTTTTTCTTACTGAAAAATTTATTTAAGAAATGTACAATATATTTTTATATGTATACAATCGATAATAATTTTTCTTTTCTAATTTTGTGATTTAATAAGATGTACAAATTCTTCATATTTGTTGCTATTAAATGAACTGTTACCAGTATTAATATTAGTATTTAATCGCACGATATACCGCAAGCAAATAGAATAAATAGTTAATGTATATCGGATATTAATTTTGATCGTATCGTTTTTCTAATGTTAATTTCAATGAACATTTATGTAAAATTATTTCCTATAATTACTATAAATATTTGCAATTATTAATTTCAGACAATAATTTAACAAAATGAACAATTAAATTAATTATCAAAATTTTTATATTTAAATAAGCATTTATTATTACATTTAAAATTGAAATTTGAATGAGAGAGTTGGAAAAAAAGAGAGAAAAAAAAAACAATGCGAGTTCGTACATGTACATTAAATATTTAAATTCTAGATACGTTTTCGTTTATAAAATTTTGAAATTACTTAATCATCACAAATTTTAAGAATAAATAAAAATTTGTGAAGCGTTATATTATTTCGAAACACATTTATGTCAATTTTTAGATAAAATATTATTTTGATATCAATGAAAGATTGTTGATCGAAGAACTATTTATGTTAAAAATTTCAATATTTATAAATAAAATTTCATAAAAAAAATTATATCTATGTGTCCAAAATCCTATAAATGTATTTCTAATTTCATAATTTAAACGTTATTTAGAAAAATATATCTTGAAATTCTTTTTCTATTTTTATTCATAGTTCAATAATAATTTCAAAAATTTTAATAAATAATTTTTAATTAAAAAAAAATTAAATAGACATTAAACTTTTATCTTTTCCTTAAAATTAATAAATCGTACATGATTGATTCAAACATGATTTTTTAAAATAGATGGACATACTTGTTTCTAAAATACAATTGTTTCACTATTAAAGTGTAACATATTTTAATTTAACTGTACGTTCTTTATTTATTAAATGAACAATATTATACACTAAATTCTTAAAGATATATCCACGCATTTCTCGTATTGTACAACTTTAATTCTTTGTACATCGCAGTAAACTATAATAATAACTTGAGAATTTCTAATTAAAAAACATTTTACAAAACACAATTCGATATAAAAAATATCTCTACAGAATTTATAATAGAATTTGACATATTCGTTTTTTACAACGATTACAATATCTAATTGAAATAATTGTTGTAAGGCGAAATCATGTCAATAATTAAAAAAATTAAGTGATATCGGTACGTTGTGACTGCCTGGGATGTTGCCTGGAGGAATCATGATACGCGATACCAACTCTCAACATTTCACCGTGGCGAAACATATCGTGCGGAGAAGAGAGAGAAGGCAAAGATGGTAGCGATGGTAATAAGCAATTTAGCATACTGGCACTACCATCTGACGAGTAAATTCCATTATTGGCAGAGGCGATAGAAGTTGTATTCGAGCTCGATGCAGAGACTAGGGTAGAGTTCGCGCTTTGATCACTACTTCCCAATACACTTGATCCCATTAAACTTCCTGTTAGGAATACAAAGATATAACAGTATCAGTTACAATTATATTGCTTTAATAATTTTATATTTATACAGTGTAATTAACAAAAGAGAACCAAGATATAAGAATTGAGATTAATTTTTTCCTTAATAATAAATTTTTTACAATAATACCTTTTTTAATCATTCATCATTAGAGAAAAAAAATAATTCAAAGATAATTCACTTTAATGATCATATCAGTTTATTTTGTAAATCATTTTTTATATATAATATATTGCAAATATTTTATTTTGAAATTTCATAAGAAACAAAGTAATTCAATAATATATTGATCAAAACGTAATTATTATTTTAAATAAATATAAGAAATTATAAAAATAATAAAGAAATAAAACAAGATGATTAACAACATTTTTAACATAAATACTTGTATTTTGTTTCTTATTCAATTACATTTATAATACAATAACTAAAAAATAACTTACAGTCTCTCAACGTATAATGATAAATTAAAATGTACAAAAATTA